AATAAAATAATTAAAAATTTGATTTTTTAAAAATATTGTTATAAGAACGAACATTTAATTAACTAAGGAACCAAGCCCGACCATCGAGGATCCGTGCATGGCTTTTGTGGTCTTGGACCTGAGTGTCGGGGACCGGTGCTCGAGCGTCGGGGACCCGAGCACTACTTTTATGAATTTGGGCTCGGGTGCCAAGGCATTGGACATGGGTACAAGGCTTCGGTCCTAGCCTCAATGGACCTGGGCGTATGCGTCGGGGTACCAACCTCAGCTGCTGGAGACCTAGTCCAGAACGTCGGGACTCATGAACCAACATTAGGGTCTATGCCCAAGTGTTAGAGTTTCAGGATCAAGCACCGATAACTAGTCATATTTTGGAAAATGTTTTTCCGGTTTTTAAAGAAGAAATTATTTTCCCGAATTTAAGTATAGGTTTTTTGTTCGTTCATTTTCCTAAGCGAATTAAACACCGGAAAATGAGAAATATTTTCTCGGAAAATATTTTTCGCAAAACAAACGAAGCCTAAGTGTTAAGAATTTGATTTTTGAAGGTTTCAAGTGTTCCATATTATATGAAAGTAAAACGCTGATATTAGTTTACCAAAAACAATTCAACTATTACAAACAAAGGAAAAAGAAAAGAGTAAAAAACAATGCAAAATCACCGCCACCGCACCAACCTTTTCAGTTGGAATTTTTTAGTATGTAATAAAAGCCCGGTTAAAACCCCATTTATCCCCAAGCATCTCATGGATTTTCAAGCCTAATTGCCGGTGTAGATAAATTTTCTATAAGCGACCTTATCCATTCTTCATTTAATTGTTAACGAGAGAGTGGGTAGTTAAAATTCTCTAATCAGAGATGGATAAGACCGCTTGTGTAATGTTTTCTTTATGTCGTTGGTATATACTCTGTTATTGCTTGCGTTGGACCTGTGTCTTGTCAATTGTTTTTTTATGGATGGCACCTAATATAAATCGGAATATGACTTTGTATTAATAATATACGAGGGTGTTATCTGTGCGTTGCCGTGTGATAAAGAAATTTATCGATCAATAATGAAGGTGTTTAGAATGATTGGTTTACAAAGATTTCTACGAAATCAATAAGTCAATTAGTATTTTCATTAATATTTCCGTTATATGGATAAATAACGTCAAATTTTCATTATTCAAGTATCCTTTTTCTTTAATTCCATATTTGCCTACTTTTACTTTAAAGCCAACCAACGCGAAAGATATGCGAACTGTCTCGTTTATTTCTTTACAAACTGAATTTGAGTAGCATCACAGATTAATTATGACTGCTAATACTGTGGGAGTGAGAGCAAGTCCATAATCATATGCAATTTTTTAGTTTGTTGAATCGACTAAGCTAAACTTGTAAAATTGCGTATTAACAATCTTTCTCATCGAAATTACATGTGCCAGACTTTTTACTCATATTATAGTATATGTGAGCTTATGAGTTATGATTGTGAAAGTATCTGTAAGTTATATCAATACCAATATTTTCAAATACAAAAAAATAGACTAAAGGGAAGAGGTTAAGAGGTAACCTCTTAATTAGGGGCTTCCCTTGAATTATTGGTGTTCAGGTAGATAACCTCACCAAAAGAAGTGAGCTTTCCTTCCTACGAGGGTCTATGCAACCTGTCCCCATCCTATGAGACGGGCTTCATGGATGGGTTTCTTATTTTAACGTACTGGTATCCGCACATCTCGCATCCTCAATTCTCTCTGTATCTTTATTTTCTTCAGGAAGATGGAATACCCTCTAAAAGTTTTACATTTCAGTGATCCCGAGATCCAGACGAGAATCGATATGAAGTTTTTTAGGGATTTACTTAGGTCCGAAAAAAATTTGAGAAAGAACCTTACCAAAAAAAAAAATAAAATTTGAGAAAGAATATAGAAGAAAAAGAAGGAAGAGAAAAATAGAACCAAGTGGAGGGAGAGTTCTTGGATGGATGCCACCGTCCCTCCTAAGAACTCTCTTTTCTTACGAAGGTATAGATAGATTTCTATAAATCATGTCAAATCAGTTACTAGTCTATTCTTAGGAGCTTTAAGCTAGGACTTTTAACCAATGCGTACCAAATGTCAGTTGTTGTTACCAAAAGAATGTCACTTCGTAGTTGGTAGGAGGATGGAGTTACCATAAACAAGACATAGGAGCGCTGGACTCCTTGATTTTGGAAGTGATTTTTCATGAAGAGTTTGTACCTGGACGTTGACAAAAGCGATGGGGGTGAACTCTAGACTGGTGAAATCTTCACATTTAAAGAAAAAGAGCTCTTTACTCAGAGCTGCTGAAAGGTTGTTCATTAGTTTTGACATGATAATATATCAGCGAAAATTGTCCAAAGAGTCGTAAACCTATTGCAATTTTGTCAATTCACTCATAAACCTTTCAATTTTACCAATTAAGTCCTAAATCTTTTTACGTTTTGTCAATTGAGTCCATCTAGCCAATTTTTAGCTGGAAATCGCTGACGTGGATGCTAACCGTCTTACGCTGTCCTACATGGCATGGCCGGTCCTGATGTGAATAATTTTTTATAATATTTTAATATTTTTTCGAATTATTATTTTTATTAATTTTCTTCTGTTTTCTTTTTTTTTATTTCTTTCTTTTTCTTTGGCCAACCCTCGCCGGACTTGGAAGAAGAAAAAGAAAAAGAAAGAAAGAAAGAAAAACAAAAAAATAATTAAAAATATTATTAAAAATTATCCACGTTAGCACCAGCCTCGTCATGTAGGACTTTTAGACAATTTTCTAATATACAAAATGAAAATAAAATGAAAAAAAGATCCAAATAACGTCTATTGTCCTACTTCTTACTATTTCTTCTTTTTTTTGACGGATTCTTACTATTTCAATGAAGTAAATTTTAAACTTGTGGTACGTTTGTATTACTGAAAACTTTATGATAAAGGAAATTTTTTTCCATGAAAATCACTTTCGAGAAAAATAGTCAGTTTAAATTTGTTTGGTGGTTTAGGAAAAATGATTTCCTTAGTAGAAGGGGAAGTCATTTTCCCCCATCTAAGTTTGTCGTTTTCAGTCCATGAAAAACGTTTTTCCGTAAATTGATTAGTTTTTCGTCATCCAAATACGGGAATGTTGGAAGATCATTTATCGAAAATAGTTTAAATTGGATAGTCATATATGGTATAGGCAGAACTCTTTCCACTATATCGCAACAAGAAGAAGAAGTACCTAATCCCAAGCCCCTCAGAAAAATAGAGGAATGTCGTGACTCTGAATCCTCAGAAGAACAGGCGGCTCAGGGGGATTCAGACTCGGGTTCTGGAGAGTCAGACTCAGAGTGGACGCCATCCAGGGGGCGTAGGGGTTAGTTTTAGGGGTTGAGGAAAGGTTTTGAAATGTCTCATTTTTGGAGTAGGGTATACCCAGGCTACTGATCCTTTTTGATATCGGTGGTGTATAGTTTAGAAGTTCGGTGTGCATGTATATTATGTGGATTGTAAGTAGCGGATATTGTATAAGTTTGTAATGGTAATGGATGTACATTCGCCCTTTTACCCCCAGTTAAATATTGTCCGGGTGTTTGTGGCTTTCGTTGGTGCTTTATATCTGATGTGTGGGGTCGGCGACTTCCTGGGGCGTCGCGATATTCGACCATAGAGGTATGTCACGGGCTCGATGGGGTTCGATGCGTGACAAAATGGAAAAAAGAAAATTGAGAAAGAATAAAAAAGAAAAAAAGAGAAGAGAGAGTTCTTAAGAGAAGAAGAGAACCAATTGGAGGGAGAGTTCTTGGAAGGATGATACCATCCCTCCTAAGAACCCTCCTTTCTAACAAAGGTACAGATAGATTTCTATAAATCCTGTCAGATCAGTTTATTAGTCTATTTTTAGGAACTTTAAGGTACGACTTTAAACCAATGTGTATTAAATGTCAGATGTTGTTACCAAAGACTTTCCTTTCATGTATGGTACGGAATTGGTTGTAAATTATGCCATTAGTCTTTAGGAATTCTAGGTAAGACTATATAACTAATGTTGTATTAAATGTCGGTTGTTGTTACCAAAGAAATGTCACTTTCTAGTTGGTAGGAGGATGAAGTTACCCTAAACAAGACATAGGAGCTGCCGGACTCCTTGATTATAGAACTAAATTAAGCTTTCAAAGAGCTATTTTCATTTTGAATTTCAAAGGATGTGAATTTAGAATGGTATACATGTATCGTACGAGTCGGGCCATCTAGTAAAGTAAGAAAAAGCTGTCATAACCATAAAAAATGTTTACATCTAGGAAAAAAATTTCGAATTATTATTTTTCTTCTGTTTTCTTTTCTTTTATTTTCTTTCTTTCTTTTTTCTTTTTCTTCTTCCAAATCCGGTGACCATTGCCGGATTTGGAAGAAGAAAAAGAAAAAGAAAGAAAGAAAATAAAAGAAAATAAAAAAGAAAAAGAATAATTAAAAATATTAATAAAAATTATCCACATTAGCGCCAGTCGGGCCACGTAGGACTTTTTGGACAATTTTCTAATAAACAAAATGCAAATGAAATGAAAAAAAGGTCCAAATAACGTCTATTGTCCTGCTTCTTACTATTTCAATGACGTAAATCTTAAACTTGGGGTGCGTTTGTATTACTGAAAACTTCATGATAAAGGAAAAAAATTTCCATGAAAATCATTTCCAAGAAAAATAGTTAGTCTTAATTTGTTTGCCGGTTTTGGAAAAGTGATTTTCTTCTTAGTAGAAAGGGAAGTCATTTTCGCCCAATCTAAATTTGTCGTTTTCAATCCATGGAAAATGTTTTTCTCTAAATCGATTAGTTTTTCGTCATCAAAACACGGGAATGTCAGAAGATCATTTCTTGAAAACAGTTTTAAATCGAATAGTCAGTATATGGTATAGGCAGAACTCTTTCCACTATATCGCAACAAGAAGAAGGAGTACCTAATCCCAAGCCCCTTAGAAAAATAGAGGAATGCGCAACTGAATCCAAGACCTTGGCTGAGCCAATCGACCACCAACCGAGAAGCATAAGTTGATAAGAAATAAGTTTTGGCGAGTAATTTCGATAGAAAATAAAGCTCTATTTACTACATCTGAATTTTACTAATATCGGTTGTTGTATGAAGGCGGGATGGATAGGACCGATAATGTTATGAGGAGAATATCTTCTTTTCATACGAAATATTCTCACTCGTGTTATTATTCATTAAAATGTGATTGGTTTGCCCTGAAAAATTAAGTCCAAGTAACGAGGTGGCTACGAACATGTTGCCTATAAATACCCATCAAGTGTTGATTTTCTGCAACGCAGCGAAAGCCTCTCCCCAGTCTTCGATTCCCGTAGTCGTCCGATATCCGCAAACGAAGCACGAAAATAGTGGGGAACATGTCGGTTCAGGTTTCGGCAATTCCATCTTCTTCTCCGAGTAAAGGAAGAAGCGGCGGGGTCGAACGCCGGTCGACAGAATATCACGAGAGCGTATGGGGTGATTACTTCCTCAAATATGCTTCTCCCTCCAACTCAACGGTTAGTAATTCTTCTCTTATCTTCTTCCTTTGTTTTCGTGCAACTGCATTTTGTAGAATTAATAAAAGTCCTTGTGTTCACGATAATTGATGGCATCAAAGAACTAAGGCCCGTTTGTTTAAAGGACAATTGTTTCCTAGAAATTATTTTCCGACTTTCCGGTATTTAGATGACGGAAAACTAATCGATCTACGAAAACGAGTTTTCCATGGACCGAAAACAATAAGCTTAAATTGGGGAAAAACAATTTCTACTTCTAGCAATAAGGAAATCATTTCTCCTAAACCACAAAACAAATGAAAACTAACCATTTTCCTTAGAAACGATTTACATGGAATATATTTTCCTTTATCATAAAGTTTTCAATAACACACATGCACCATAATTCTTAGATTATTGGGCAGCATCGATCCCAATGTTGCTTGACAAATTGGTCACATATCGGAAAACTCTCTTCTTCCATAACTATGTAAGTCACTCATTATTCATGTTCCAGGTAAAAAAAAAATGTATAACCAGAAAACTCTTGCAATTGCACTCGAATGGAAAAAGGTATATTTACATGTTGTGAAGGTATCAATTACACTATATGTGAACGTAGGGCAATAATGGTGAAAGTAGGGCGGCTAAGGACTGCTTTGACCTCTTCTTCTGCCTGAAAGCTCTCAACATTTGTGAACTCTTTGACTCTTCATGTTTATGAAAAATAATGGGTTGTCTTCAAGTGTAAAGAAAGAGCTGCTAGTAAGAAGTGGTAGAACAATTAGGGGATTGAGCGAGAAAAAAGTTTTCTTCCTCGTTTACTTTTTTCTCTTAGCCTTTCCATCCGTGAGAAAGAAAATGCGGATACATGATTCTAGTTGCGTTGGTTTAGGACTAAGTCTTAGTAGCAGAACTATGTGGTTGGCTTGATCATTTCGACCGTAATTCCACAGTCCATTCAAGAGAAGTATCACCAAACGTACATGGTGGATTTTACTTTTGAATCTATCTATGCTTTCTCGGGCATTCAGCTTTGTTTTGATCTCCATCCTCTTTATCAATTCGACTATCGGCCTAGGTCTATGAATTTCTCTATCAAACAGGGTCATGTTTAACAAGTTTAGACTATATTGTATGCACCCGACGTATGCTACAGTCCCTCCTTCAAAAACATCAACTGTACTACTCCACCTAAATGAAATGATTTGGTCATCAATTATTCAATTTTAGAGAATAATGTTAGATTTCGTCTCTTTGAAAGTTTCAAAATGAAATGATTCGGCCTTTATCTTTAATTCACTTTTCTGAGAATATATGCTCGTCGTAATGAGTTATCAGAAATTACAACTTGCTTCGTTTTCATATTGTCTTTCTATGGGTTTGTAACCAAGAAAACATGATTATTATTTTTCACAGCAACTTCGCTTTCCTTTGAGTTTGTTTTTTTTTTTTTTGTAATATATATTTCACATGCTTGCTTTTATTCAGAATAGCGTGTTACATATTTGCAGAAGCTCAAATTCCTTGGAAGAGTGGAGGAACAAGTTGAGGAATTGAAAGGAGTGGTGAGGAAGATACTGACTGATGATGTCGCGGATAAGCCTTCACAAATGCTTCACTTGATTGATCAAATTCAACTCTTGGGAATTGACTACCATTTTGAACGAAAAATAGATGAGCAATTAGAACATATCCACAAAAGTTACTCTCAACTCGATCATGGAGGTTTTATGGGAGATGACCTTCATATGGTTGACTATTATGTTTCGATTGCTGTGACAACAAGGTTTCAATATCATATCGGGTAAGTGTTAAACTTAGTGAACCAATCCGATAATATGCCCATAAAAATTCCTTCTTTGGAAAATTAATGCCGCAAAATTTACTATTGCTCATTCGAATTTTAGCAGAAGCAAGTGAAAGAAAATCTACAACATTAACTACGTGTATCGCCTTCCTAATTTCTAATCAATTACGTCTTGTCTCATGTTGGCTGGTCGCACAGAGGTCTTTAACAAATTCAAGGACAGTGAAGGCAAATTTAGGGAATCGCTTATCACAAATGTGCACGGATTATTGACCCCATATGAAGCTTGCCATTTAAGGTGCCATGGCGATGATATTTTGGAGGAAGCACTTCCTTTTGCTATAACTCAACTTGAATCGATTGATGTAATGAAAGTAAGCAATAGTCTTGCGAAACAAGTGAGTTGTGCCCTCAATCAGCCACTTCGCAAGGGGCTGCTGAGACTCGAGGCAAGGCATTAATATATCACTCTACCAAGAAGAGCCTTCACATGACGAGGTCTTGCTCGCCTTGGCTAAACTAGATTTCAACTTACTGCAAGAGCAACACCAGAAGGAACTTGGCAGGATTACAAGGTCAACTAACTTCATGTGATAGAATAATCTAAAATTAGCTTACAGATTGTGTTTTCCAAAGGTTTACTCGTCTAGTTTCAATCTACCCTGCTAATTAGTGCTTTTGAAAGTCCTTTACAAGTGAAAAAGTGAGTTTGACCTTGTAATCCTGCCAAGTTCCTTCTGGTGTTGCTCTTGCAGTAAGTTGAAATCTAGTCAGTTCCTGTCTCTAGAAAATGGGAAAATGTGGAGTTGTTCTTATGGATATCGGGAGTATATTTCCAGTCAGAGTTTGCCGGGGCCAGATATATACTAACCAGAGTGATCGCCCTGATTTCCATTCTCGACGATATCTATGACGTCTATAGCACATTAGAAGAACTTGTATCCTTCACCGAAGCAATTGAGAAGTACGTAATCCGCATTTGCTTTCTCAAACTTTTGAAAATGATCAAGTATGTGTAGAGTAAGTGTGTAATTTTCAAGGACTCGAATTCAGGTGGATTGTTGATGCCATGGATGGACTACCAGAGTATATGCAAGCTTATTATAATGTGCTTCTCAATCTCTACGATGAAATTGGGAATGAACTGGCCATGAAAGGAAGATTGTACCGCCTCGTCTATGCAAAAGAAGCCGTAAGCATCATCGGTACCCTTTATATGCACCTAATGCAATTTTTCTCAGGAACCCAACATTCTCGTTTACGTTTAATTTCTCAAATGAAGAAGCAAGCAAGAGGGTACTTTCACGAAGCCAAATGGTTCCATACCAGCTACACACCAACGATGGAGGAATACATGCCCCTTGCATTATTAACGATAGGCTATGAAGAGATAGCGATCACATCGCTTGTAGGAATGGGCGATGTGGTCACAAGAGATGCTTTTGAATGGTTGCTCGGCGACTGCAAGATCTTGAAGGCTTCACAAATCATATGTAGGTTCATGGATGACATTGCTTCTCACCAGGTATAATAGAAACGTAATTATCCTCCAGTAATCTAATGAAATTAGATCGACCACTACTCAATCGGAAACGCTGTTGACCTAATCACACCAATTTTGTTGATATACAGTAGGAGCAAAAGAGGGGGCACGTAGCATCTTCGGTGGAGTTGTTGATGAAAGAAAATGGCGTCTCGGAGCATGAAGCTAAGGAGGAACTCTAGAAACGAGTTGTTGATGCGTGGAAGGACATATGGCTAAGATTGAAGAGTGTCTCGTAAGCCAAGGCTACTGAGATTTGACAAGTTCTCACCATATGCTAAAGTGGTGGTTCCAGAGAACTACAAAGAGCCCGAATTCGTGAGCAAGTATGACGGAAGCGGTTGCCCGAAGAGTCACCTAAAATACTACCTCCACAAGATGGCAAGATACCCTAACAACACACCTCTTCTTATCTGTACCTTCCAAGATAGTTTGAGAGGGGCGGCTTTAGCATGTTACACTGCCCTTGATATCGAAGACTTTACCGAATGGGATCTTCTAGCCGGAGAGTTCTTGCGCCAATACAAGTTTAACGTTGAAGTGCTGCTAACAAGAGAATACCTTATGAGAACCGAAAACAGGAGAAACAAAGGATTCCGAGCTTTTGCACAAAGGTGGAAAGCCATTGCTTCACAAGTTAAGCCCGCAATCAATGAAGACAAGCTCATTGAGCTCTTCTTGAAATCATTACCGTATGAATACTATGACAAGTTGCACGTCTCAGGATGTCAGACATTTATCATTCTTGTGAAGATGGGTGAAAGAATATAATGGGGGATAAAAGAAAAGAAAACGCAAGAAGCGTCATCGCGAAGATCCTATCCTATAAGGAAGGATAAAGAGTCCGCTCATGAAGTGGCAGTCATGTCAAGCCCAAATGCCTATTCAGCACCATTCTAGAACAACCCAATACTGCTTGGAAAGATACAAAGCCGTTTGAACCAAGAAGGAAACCCGTGAAACAATTCACACCATTGCCGCGACCTTTATCAAAGTTACTACCCATGCTTCTTGAGGGGCATATGGTGGCTAAAGAGGTGCCGAGAGAGCATCCTCCAAAGTTTTCCGGATTTGATGAGTCCAAAACCTATGCATATCACATGGGTGAATGGGGGCATGATGTGGACAATTGCCTCACCTTGAAAATCAAGGTCCAACATCTTATTGATAGAAAGATTCTCAACTTCCAAGAGCTGAAGCCGAATGTTCATCAGAATCCATTACTGGAACACAATCTGGTACTAATGATATGGGCTGAAGATGAGGAAGCCAAGTTTGATGAAGACAACAAATACGAAGCCAAGATAAAAGCCGACCGTCGTGCTGATGTTTGATTCCATCGCGAGGCACATCAAAAGGGTGAGATAATAGACACATTGGGTGAAGATTCAGGGAAGTACAATTTCCAAGTCAAATATACACCCCTTCCATGGGCTTTTAAAAATGAAGTCATTGTGTCTAATGGGTGGGGTGGTATGGACGAGATTCAGAACGATGAGGTAAATCTCGAAGAGGAAAAAGATGAAGAGGAACAGAAAAGAGAGAAGATTCGCCAAGGCGACAAACAGTTCATCTGCAAGACGCATGAGCAAAGTGAGGCTGTTGACTTGTTGGGCCAAGACAGTGGTCGCTACAACTTTCATGGTCTAATGCACACCTCCTCCATGGGCTTTCAAAAATGAAGTCATTGTACCCGATGATTGGGGTGGAATGGACGATGAGAATGATGAAGGTATAGTGTTCATGATTACGCCATTCGTAATCAAACTGAATGAGGTCAACAAATATGGGGAAGAGAAATGTCATGTGGAGTCAATTACCATTCAACTTCCAATCGATCAGTTGAAGACTTTGATGATCGAAGAGAATGAACCACAACGAATGGTGATTACATTACCCCCAAAAGTCAAATTTGATACCAAACGCATGCCATGGGACTATTCCCCAAACGAAGTTGATGCCATTACCCGATCGAGTAGATGTTATGCTCCGAAGGAGGGAGAAGTTGAAAAGAAAGGGGTGACAGAAGAGGATGCTAAACAACTCTTATCCGTCATGAAAACGAGTGAATTTGAAGTAATAGAACAACTAAGGAAGATGCCAGCATAAATTTCTCTGCTCGAGCTATTCAAGACATCTGAAAGGCACAAGATGGTTCTCATGAAGCTCATTAATGAGTTGCACATGCCGGAAACCATTAATGAGGTGCAATTGGAAGATTTTGTCGGCACTGTCCTCCTGAAGGATGAAATTGCCTTCTTAGATGAAGATTTTCTTATGGATGGTCGCTCGCATAATAAGGCACTATACATCGCAGTCAAGTGCAAACCCAAGGAAGTATCTCGAGTGTTAGTTGACAATGGTTCAGCTCTCAATTTGTCCCCATTAAGCACGCTATATCAATTGGGGATCAATGAGGAGTCTATAAAACCATCGAAGGTGACTGTGCGATCATTCGACGACATGAAAAGGGATGTTATTGGAGACCTTGAATTGGAAGTGATCATTGGTCCCGTTTCTTTCCTGATCGACTTTCAAGTCGTTGACATTCCAAGAACCTTTAATTCGTTGTTGGGAAGGCCATGGATTCATACGACGGTTGCCATTTCATCAAGCCTACACCAGAAAGTTAGATTTGTCGTTGGTGGAAAGATGATTACAGTGCATTGGGGAAATGGATTTCGCGACTTACAAAGAGAGTGCGATACCGTATATCGAGCCTGAAGTGAATGAAGAGCCAAGCTATCATTCTTTCGAGATGATCTCGATAGTGCATGTATCTATAGACAGTATCATGAAGACTCCAAAGGTTTCTCCATCGCCTATCATGTCGGGACGAGTATTATGCCAATACGGGTTCGTTCTCGAAAATGGGCTGGGGGCAAATGCCCAAGGAATCAAAGAACCAATCACTTCATTCGTGGCCAAAAGGAGAGGTGGAATTGGCTACTTAGGAGAAAGCTTCAATGACCATCATGAAAATCGAAGTGGTTATGTAAGAGAAAGCTCCAATGACCATCATAGAGGTCGAGGTCGAGGTCGAGGCTACGGCCGTGGAAACCATGGAGATCATGGAGGTCGAGGCGGTCACGCTATCAATCCGACAATATGGAAGGGTAAGGCTAAAGAGCTTGCCTATCATTAGATTCATATTAAGAAAACTTTTCCTGGACCCTCCAAGCTACTCCAAGACGAAGATATCCAAGTTGGGGAAGAACCGATTCTACCCGATCTTTTTGAAGAGAAATCTATCAACGTCATCGTATACGAAGTGGAGGATGCTTCTACATTGGAGTAAGAAGATCATCCTCACTCTTTTTCTTGCACTTATGTCTTCTCCTTATGCATTGTTTCTGTTGTGTTTTCTAGTTTCATTTCGATTCCGTTCGCAATTTCAATTCTGTTGCACTTTCAATTCAGTTGATTTAGTTATAATGTGTTCTTTCAATTCAATAAAATGTTTAATGTTTTAGGACGTATGAAAACAAAAACCAAACCTATGATGAACATTGTCCTCACTTGTGAGGCTTGAGGCTTTGGGTTTCTATATCGCTTCTAGTAGTGAAAATGATTTTTGTGAGAGCAAAGACGTCCAAGGATATGAGGACTAGCTCTCTCTTCCTGTTATTTCAAAATGGAGATAAGGGCACTAGGAGTGCCATAACTTTTGTACGGTGTTTACTTAAGTGCCATAATTTTTTTTTTCGCTCACTTGAGTGCCACATTGGAGTAAAATAGATCATTTGAGTGCCACTTTCTGCGAAAATAGATCACTTGAGTGTCATTTCTGACAAATGAGCTGAAGTGGATTTTTTAATTATTTTTTCATCCGACGTGGGTTTTTTTAAAGTTATTTTATTTTATTGATTTTTTTTCTTTATCTTTTTATTTTTATTTATCTTTCTTATTTTTCTTATTTTTTTTCAAGGTTGGTGAGGGTCGCTGGTGACCCTCGCCGGAGGCCTCGCCCTTGACCAAATTGGGCGAGGGCCACCTTGCCATTGGCCGGTATGACCATGAAGGCCCTTGGCGAGGCCATGGCAGCCTTGCCGCTGCGAGTGAGGCGGCGAAGGCTCTCGCCAGATCCGGCAAGGCCGCTTTGGTCGCGGCCGCGGTCATGGCGGCGAAGGCTCTCGCCAGATCCGGCGATGCCGTCTTGCCCGCAGCCGCGAAAGCCCTTGGCGAGGTGGCGAAGGCTCTCACCAGATTTGGTGAGGTTGCCTCGCCTGCGGTGGTGAAGGCTCTCACCAGATCTGGCGAGGCCGCCTCGCTTGCGATCGGCGAAACGGCCTTCGCGGCCTCGTCCAAGGCCTTCGCGGCCAAGGGCAAGCCGGCCCTTGCCTATTTTGGGCGAGGCCTTCACAGCCGGCGAGGGGTCGCTAGTGACCCTTGCCAGCATTGAATTTTTTTTTTGCAAAAATAAAAAAATTAATAAAAAAAAATTCAAATTTTTTTAAAAAAATATTAAAATATTATCCATGTCAGTTCCGGTGAAGCCACGCTAGCTCCGGCGAAGCCATGTCGGAATTTCCGGTGACCAAATGGCATTTGGCACTCAAGTGATCACTTTTTCAAATTTTTGGCACTTAAGTGAGCGAAAAAAAAAGTTATGGCACTCAAGTGAGCGCCGTACGAAAGTTATAGCACTCCTAGTATCCTTATCCCTTTCAAAATGAGTTTCAAAAAAGTGATTTCCAAAAGAGCTTTCCATGAAACTTCATGCATTGTTATTTTTCATATGCAATTACTAATCATGTTTATTGCATGTCGAGCATGAACATTCGCATATTCATAATAAATTCTTATGTGGCCCGAATCTTTCGGAAGAAACTGCCTGTGATATTGAGAAAGACAATGAAGATGAAGAGTGGGTCAGAAAACAGTGGATTCGACATGAAGAATCAAAACTACTTACATAAGAGAAAACAGTTACCATTAATTTGAATAATAATGAAAATCCCAAAGAGGTTAAGATTGGAGAAAGTCTCTCTTCCATAGAAGCAAAAAGGATTATCGAACTACTTAAGAAATATCAGGATATCTTTGCATGGTCTTATGTCGATATGCCTGGCCTTGATCCGAAGATTGTTCAACATGCCCTACCAATTGATCTGAGCATCCCTTCGAAG